AGTTCTAAGAATCTGAGATCTACAAATCATAACCAGGAAAAGTCAATATTAGAAAGAGAGCCTGCGAGGAAGGATCAATGTAGCTACCAAAAAGGTTCACCAAAACATGGTAGAGAGCAAGGTATGTATACCCAGGACAGGTCTAACTCACAACAGCCTTGGTTAGGTGCTGCCATAAATTATTCCAAAGGATTAGATGTAATGGGCAGTGGGGAACTTTGCTTCATCCATAAACAGGGCCATGATAGCTGAAGTCAAAGGTTAACAGGGGAGAAATGCAAAACTTGTAATGAGAGCTACCACCTTGCAGCTCTCAGCCAGACATCAGACTGATCCAGGGATGAGTAGGGGCTAGCATAATCTGACTGGCAGTCAAGAGGTTTGACTGGGTCCAAATGTTCCCTCTGCCTCTGATTTCTTAATAAAAAGTATCATGGCCCACTCTGGTAAAATCTTAGAGAGACTTTAACAATAAGAGAAATGATATTCTGTTAACATAACTATCTACACATTCAGTGAATGCACTGCCAACATTCACTCATGCATTTAAACATGTGTTGAGGTGGTATTATATGCCAGATACTGTAGCAGCAATGGGGAAGATGACAGTCCCTATCACTGCCTGTGTGACTCAGAGTCAGGCATTTTTTGGAACACTCAATGAATTTGTAGTGATTCGATATTTACCCTTGACACCAGGCTGAAAGATCTAAATGTATAAGGATTGGACATATTAGTTTGAATCACCCTAGCATCTGTATCTCTCTTGGGGAGGATCTCGTATATAGCTGACATCACAATTCCAGAACTATCTGTTGGATTAACAATATATCTCTTTGGGGAGGCAGCTGGAAAGCTAAGTAAAGCAAGGATTACAATAAAATATGAAAGTATAGAAATGATGGAGATAAGCTGGGAGAAGAGAGGACTAAGGGAGTTCGGGGGAAAGCATCTAAATCCAATTGAAATGAAGGCAGTCAAGAAAAGTTTTCCAGTAAGAAGATCCTCACACTGAATTCAAAAGGATAAGTAAAAGCTGGTAAGATGAAGAACAGAACAGTCCTGGCTGAGAGAACAGCAATACCAATTGCTAGTTCTGACTGAACTAGCCCACATAATTAGTACTTACTTAGCAATTTCTCGATTCAGTCAGATAGTTACCAGTCAGAATGATGGAGGCAGCTATGTGCAGACATGAGGCTGTGCAGTATCCTGTGCATGTGTATTTTCCAGAAAAGCTGAATATTTTGTGGTGTAATGTGGAATGCTGAACAGGAGAGTGGGAGGTGTCACAGGAGCATAGCAGGCGAGAACAAGGGAACAACCCCAGATCCTCTGTTGCTTAGTCATAAAAGGTTATGACTTTCTAATAGGCTTTCTAGTCATGTATTCAAGGTAGCCTGGTCCTCTGGATGATTTGCTGACCTACCTGATTGTTGCTCCATAGGCATATGATCTGCTTAAGGGCAGCTATTTGTTAAAGCTGTTCACCAAGTCTTTGTGTTTCCTACATTAAGAGGTGTAATCTAATTGACTCTTTTGAATCTGGTCTGGCCCTCAGTGACTTGTGTGACTAGGAAACTACAGTAGAAGTGCCATTCTGAGACTTTGGAGAATGGGTCACAAAAGGTCACTAGAATATCAGCTCTTGGAACCCTAAGATGCCACATTAAGAAATGATAAATGTCTGAAGTGACAGATATGTCAATTACCCTGATCTGATCATTACACATTGTGCACATTAGTGAAATGTCACACTGTACTCTATAAGGTACATACAATTACAATTTGCCAGTTAAAAATATATTTTAAAATAAGTTCAATCACCTTGAGACTTTCACGCTGGTGAGGCCATGTGTGTGGGTGCTCTGGTTAACAGGAACTGCTGAGGACAGTCTTGCAGCCATCCCTGCCAAGGCACAAGATCTATGAGTGAAGTTGTGGCAGGTCCTCTAGGCCAGCCAAGAGCCAGCAGAATACTGCTGAGGGATCTGTGTTGATCAAAAGAACCACCCAACTGAGCTCTGCCTGAATTCCTGAATTACGGGATACAGTAAAATGGTTGTTGCATTACCCACTTAAGTCTTGAGGCTGGTTTACTCCAGAGCAATGAATAAGAGGAACACTGCCTTAGTTGCCACATTATCAATGGTGCTACTGGTATTGTCTGGCCTGTAGTTGATTTTCAGTACAAATTTGCTAACTGAGGAATGAATGCTAGAGAAAGACAGAAAAGGGGCTATTATAAAAACAAAAAGATATATACAAGTGGCAACTGTTTTATGTGAGACAATTTCAGATAAATGAGTAAAATTTTCTAAATAATATGGTGCCTACTCTGGGAAGCTCACCAGAGTAGAAATGTTACATTCTGGAGGAAATATAAATGGAACAAGAAAATTTTTATGCTCTTCTCCCTAGCATAAACGCCAGCTTTCCAATGGCTATACCTTCGTCCAAAGAATTAGAATTAATTAATCAATTAGAGTTAATACGCTTTTCCTTCTCTTCACTTCAAAACCTTTGCACTTTCTCAGAAGACATCAAGTCCAACGAGGCTCACTAGAAACTGTGAACAAGAGAATAGTTACCAAAATGAATGAGCTTTTACATTCTACTTCAGAGCCAGAGCCATCATGTAAAGCATTAGGTACACAGACTACGCTGCCTAATGGAAACACAGTTATATGACCTGGATTCTAAATGTAACTATGTTTTACTTCCTTTACCTTTAACTGCCTGGTGTTTAGACCTAAATTCAATCAGTAGCCTATTGTTTTCTGTTTCCTGAGAAGCAAGTAGCAGCTGTAAGGAGAGATGGGGAAGAATTGGATGGGGTTGGAAATGTGAATTTTAGCACGACTCTTATGAATATTCTTTTCCATTTTATCCACCTCCTTCTGACTTTGATGTTATCAGTAATTTCCCAAGACAGAGAAAACCCAGACTTCCTCAATGAGTGCAAGTACATGCCTCAGCAAAATTCAAAATGGAGAGATCAGCTGCTCCACAGAAACCCTGCTTCTGTGTTTGTGTCCAAGGAAACTCACACAAAACACACTGGCAGGCCTCTTTCATTTCTGCCTTCCTCTATTTGGCTAAGAAGCAAAGTTGATGGTGATTCTGGGGAGCCCATCCAAAATCTGTAATGGACAGGATACTCTTGTAGCCAATGAATAGACAAAGGAAAATCAAAGCATTTTGATGGATTCAAAGATATGAGCTAACCAGCACTGACAAAATGGATGATCTGTGCAAAGGGCAGAGCACAAAAGCAGTCTTACTTTAACTTTCTGAAGTCCAAGGTTTCAGTAGCTCTGTATTGGTTTCCAAATGGCACAAATGTTAAAAGCTCGTACCTGGCTTTCGCTACCTTATGCTGCTGCTTATCTGGATTCCCTGGTTCCTTCCAAACCATACCTTTTTGACTCTTTGAGTTTCTGCTAAGCTTTTGAGTTTTGAAACAAGAAACTAATGACTTTCTTATTTTTTACTGGAAGGCAGTGCGGGATAGTTTTACAAATGCAAACATAAATAAAGAAGCAGTGAATGTTGAGTCAAGAACCCTAAACTTTAGTTCAGTTTATGCTTTTAACTGACTGTGTTATCCTAAACCAGCCCTTTTCCTTGTCTGGGCTTAAGTTTCCTCATCTGAAATGAAGAGCATGGAAGATAGTATTTAAGATCTCTAAAGAGTAAATACAATCAAATCTTCATTATTCAAGGCTAATTCGTATACAGCTTCTCTGGGGGTTGCTTTGCCCTCACATTTATGGATAGCACCACTTCTGTTAGTGCTTTCCCTGATTAATTAAAGTTTTGCTAATACTGTAGTGTCTTTACTTTGTATTCAGACATATCCTTGGAAATCCATACACTTAACTACCTCCCAGGTTGGAAAGGATATCTTGGAAGATGACACATATCTCATTTTAAGAGAGCCCACAGACAGAGCATGTGTATCCAGAATTAAGTACAAAAGCACAATCACTAAATAATAGTGACCTTGTATTAAGTGCTCACTAAGTGTGAAGACATCATATGGATCATTCTAACTCTTACTGCACCAACAAAGGTAATAGAATATGAGAGCCAGACCCCATATTGGTCACTCTCCCTGACAACAAATGCTGCATAGCACTTGTCATCTGCAAGGCCCTATTCTAAGTGCTTCCTGTGTATTACTTTCTTCAATACACTCTAACCTCATGAGGGAGGAGGTGTTATTAACCCCCTGCTACAGACAAGAAAACCAAAGGACAGGAAGTTTAAGTAACTTGACTAGGTCATACAAATTCACAAATAACATAGCTACAAATGAAAAAAAAAACAGGAAGTCTGATCTGTACAATCCTGCAAGAAATATAATGTCCTATACCCGTGGGGATGGTTTTAGCTGTACATTAGCTGACAAGTTAACCTCACAATTCCACTGGCTCACCATAATAGTCCACTTTTCACCCCTGTTCTGTGTTCATTGCAAAATGATGAAGATCTTTGCTCCATATTGTCACTTAGGGACCCAAACTGATAAAAGCACTGCTACAGAGATTGTTGCTAGTTACCTTGGCAGAGCTCACACATGAACTCAAACATTTGCTCTTCTCTGTTTCAGCCCAGAAGTCACGCAAGCCATTTGCCTTCACATCTCTTTGGGCAGACCCAAGCACGTGATTCTACTGACTACTAGGAGCTTGGAAGTTAGTCTTTCATGTTTTCAGGAGCAAAGGATGGATTAGTAAACATTACTAATGTCTAGCACAAGCTTCAAGTATCAAAACTTCTAACTAAATTTTAGCTCCATGCCTAATGGAAATCAGTACTCTTTTAGTAAAGAAGGAAACAGCTTTTAGATAGTAACTAAGAGTGTCTACCACATACCCTCATCCCAAGATGAAGAACCTGAGACAGAAAGTTTTAGTATGAAGCAGGAGACTTCTATACAATTTTGACCTCATGTAGCTAGACAGATAACTATTTTATTTACATCTTTGCTCCATGACAACGGGACTGTGTCTTTATTACCTGTATATCCCCAGTGTTCAGCACAACACCTAGGTCATAGGAGATCCTCCATACACATATACTAAATAAATCTTAAATGGCAAGACAGATCAGCTTCTGAATTGCAAAGTAACAAATGTACTGACTGAAGCGTACCACTGAACAGGATGGGTAATTGCTCAATGTCAAAGTTTACATATCCATTCACCTCTATGAGCTAAAGAACAACAAAAACCCAAACAAAAAAGAGATATGACCTTAGATCGCGTATTTTAAAATAAAGAGGAAAACCTCACTTCGTAGAGTGGCTAGAAGGCTTGAGAAGCCCATAGAAGTTTTCCAACTTTAAAATAAGTGCAGTATATGGTTCTGGGCCCTCCATGTGTTCAGAACCTGGAGAAAATGGCTCTTCTCCAGATACAATTCTGTTTCTCAACTGAATATTGAGAAATCAGAAATGTAGTAGAAGACAGTCAACTGTTCTTAACTAGTATTTTAGTGATGCTCACGGTATTGGAATAAATACAGAATAACAGGAAACAAATTGTACCTTCAACCATCAACACAAAAGGGGAGAAACTCCATCAAGAGATGGTCCAGAGTCAACATTATATGTCTTTAATGCATTAATGCTACAATATTCCTACACCCCAGTGAGTGGTTTCAAGGCTTAATCATAATAAGTGTCATTATAATGTTTAATGTTAGTAATGCTGTGGGAAACTCACATATAATGGACAGCTAGATACCATGTAGATCAAATGCCTCTGTACTTTAAATGTCACCAAAAAGCCTGCTGACGTGTACCTAAAAGCCTGGAGTTCAGAAAGAAAAAAAAAAGACATCTCCAATCACATATAGAAAACAGTAAGAGGTAAGAGTAGAAAAAGAAGTGTAGGAGGCAGGGACAACAGGTTGACAGCATTCAACAATGATATGTGTAATTGGACTTGTCTGACCTAGCCAAATACCTTTAAGTAAACCCAGCTGCCACCTGACAGAAACAGTAGCAATTCACGTCCATTTTGCCAGAAGGGCAAAGATAAGCGCTATGGGTAAAGAAAGAAAAATCACTTGGGAACTCTAAAAGGAGACCTAGCTAGTGAATATTAAGAAAATAAGTTTTTTACAAGATACTTGACAGTGCCTCTTTAGTGATCACAATATCCTGTGATGAAGGTAGAAGTTATTTGGAAAATAATCAATAACCCTCCTAATAGCTTTTTTGGGAAATAGTCGTAATCCTTTTGTGGCTTCTCCTCGGCTATGTAGAGATGACACATGGCAGCTCTGAATTCCTTCCAGTGACAACTTGCCCTGGAGAGTCTCTTTCACACTGGACTATAAAGGAAAAAGAAAAAATGTCAAAAAGCTAAAAGCAGTCAGATTTTGCTAACAAATCTGAACAGCTAGCTGTTTGGTATCTCATAGCATTTTATTTCACAGGAGACTGGCAAATCCCCTTGTGGCCTCTCTGGTTAATACTTCTTGGAAAGGAAAGGCAGGAACTTTGAGTTCAACCTCAAGTGAACATTAAGATATCTCAGCTTCCTGTGAATGTGGAATTAGCCTATGGGATAAAGTAAGCTATTTCTTATGCTTTGCCACAAAACTTGTATAGCGATAGTGAGAGTTCCTGAGACAAGAAGAATGAGCACAGTTTGTCCCTAAAGGGGTTGACTGGTCATCCAAGTCACAAAAACCAAACAACCTTGACAAATGCAAGATGGCTACTTCAAATTGCAAGCTTCTTAGGAAAGACCTGGGGCAGTGGTGATGCTAATCATTAGTCAGGTGGCAGGACCATGTATATAAAATGTTTTGCTTAGACTGGACCCTAGCTGGGAGCTACATAGAACAATAGAGTCTAGTCCCCTAGGGAAAGGCCCAGAAAAAGTT